GTCCATGAGGCGCATTACGCACTTGCCAAGGTCATCCCTGCCGTGTCACGTGTGCCACTTCCATTCTAGAACTGGGGTGCAGGACACCACGAGTTCCTGTGCTCTAGCAACATCTCCACCTCTCCTTTGTTGCTTTGCCGATACGTCTGACGCTATCCTGTTGACACAGTATACTGTCAGATTCGCTCCTGGTGCTGTCGCCGTCCTTACGTAGGTGGCGTTCTGGCCGTTCCAGTGCCGTGTGCACAACAGCCGTGTCACAGCATTCCCCAAACGTCTCATATATTCAACATACTAGCAACATGCAAAGATGCAACACCGACTCCACAATAACTCTGATATTGCCATGGGTCAAGATCTGCGGTGTCCACATGAGAGCGGGCCCCAACCCCAGGGCCAGTGACAGCGTGCAATGCCGCCGACTTCTTTGCCAGTCGCTGTGCTCCGGACATCAAGCTGAGAGTTTACGATACCTACAATGCCTACACTTTGAACGTGTTCGTTTTCCTTTGGTACTAGTCATGCACCCACTGAAACGACATCCGCTTCAGATCGATGACATCATGACTCGGAGCTCTGCGCAACTTCTTTTCTTTGCTCAACTTCTTTCGTCACTCTGGTGCGTCAACTCATATCGTGTACCTGGCCGTTAGTATACCCGCCACAGATACGCGCTAGTTGATCATGAGCGGCAAGATGGAAAAGAAGCGCATAGCCATCGTTGGTAGTGGCATATCTGGCCTGAGCGCCCTCTATGCACTCCGTAATACCCAGCATGAGGTGCATCTTTTCGAGAAAGAGGAACGTCTTGGTGGTCATACAAACACTGTGACATGGACGCACAATGGCAAGAGCACGCCCGTGGATACGGGCTTCATCGTTCTCAACACCGCTACATACCGTTCGTCTCCTGCCATAACTTGCGCCCGTGTTGTTTCGGTACTAACAAAGCCCAGCAAATTTCATAAAGTTTCTGTCAGCTTTGCAAGTCAAGACTGTAGCCTCAGAGATGACCTTTGGGATATCTCGTGACGCTGGTGCTTTTGAATGGTCTGGCACGTCAGGCAGCTCGCTCTTTGCGCAACCTGAAAATGCACTCAAACCCTCGTTCTGGCGCATGATCTTCGACATCATCCGGTTCAACCAGTTTGCTCTAGATCTACTGGCCATCACTCCAGGCTCATCTGCAGCTGTCGCCGCTACAGAGATGAGCATTGGCGAGTATCTTGAAAGAGAAGGATATTCAGACGCGTTCAGAGACGATTATCTAATTCCAATGACTGCGTGTGTATGGAGTACCGGTGCCGATAAGTGTGCTCTTGAGTTCCCGGCATTGACGTTAGTACGGTTTATGTGGAATCACCACCTGCTCAGCACGATTGCAGAGAGACCGCCATGGTTGACCGTGGAAGGAGGATCTAGCAAATATATCGATGCTGTATTGGAGTTGGCTGGAAACTGTGAAGGCCATCTTGGTACACCGGTCCTGGCTGTGACTAGGAAGAGCGGAAAAGTGGAATTAAGGCTGGGTGGGAAAGGAGAGGGAAAGACGGAGGTATTCGATGAAGTGGTGCTTGCTTGTCACGGAGATCAGGCGAGGTGGATGCTAGGTGACGACGCGACAGTGGCAGAGAAGGAGATTATGGATGCATTCGAGACCACGCCGAATACAGCATACCTGCATTCCGATCTTTCGGTAAGTTTCAAATGCCCCACATATGCAAGTGTAGCTAACAATGTCTAGCTTATGCCCCATCGACGCACAGCTTGGTCCGCCTGGAACTACATCACCACATCCAAGTCTAAAGCTCCATCGTACGCAAACCTGACCACTTCTTCGGGTGCTCTCGAGACCGTCTGCCTGACCTACGACATGAACACTCTGCAGCATATCCCGCGCGAAGTTTACAACAACGTACTTGTCACTCTCAACCCTCCACATCCTCCCTCTCCGGCTCTGACCCATGCAACCTACCAATACCGACATCCACTGTACAACTCCCGCATGGTGTTCGCGCAAGATCGGCTTCATGAGATTCAAGGAAAGCAAGGTATCTGGTACGCAGGCGCATGGACAGGTTATGGCTTTCATGAGGATGGTTGTCGGAGTGGATTGCAGGTTGGAGAGGCATTAGGAGGTGATGCTGGGTGGGAGGTAATAGATGCCAAGTTCATGCGTGGAAGGAAACCACTCCTTGAATGGAAAGATCACGTTGCGAGGATAGTCATCACGTTGGTTCAGATGTGGGTCGGTATACTAGAAGGCTTTGCGGGTGTGAGGAGACAAAAGGGTATGGCATTGAAGGCAAATGGGAAGAAAGAACTATAGCCCCATTATCAGCCAACTTCCTATACGTAGTAACCTCTCCCACTCTTGATCTACCACTTGGTCTTGTCCACCAATATCCACCGAACGTATCATGCCCACTTACTACCTGCGATGCAGTACAAGTTCTCTCGGCTCAGGTGTCAGCAAACCACTAGGCGCATCCGACAGCTCTTCCGAAAGTGGACTGGTGAAGCGCATATGGTACTCGGCGGTAGTCTCTCGCTTGCGCTTCTTTTGCAAAGGGCTGAAGGCGAAAATGACAGTCTTCTTCCTCTTGGGCTTCTTAATAGTAGTCACAGTCCTGACTGGCCTTGACGGAGTGACGGGAACGACGTCTTGCTCCGGAGTTGCCTTGCGTGGCATAGGCTCAGGTTCAGGAGAACTTGGTGGGATCCAGACATAGCCAATCGGCAGACCACCTCTAAGCTCCGCATAATGGCTGAGTGGAGGGTCAAATTCGAGCTTCACCTCTTCTCTAGCATGCTCATGTGTATTTTTGGGCGCTTCGCTTCGGTCGAAGTAGGCGGGGACGTGGTAAGCATGGTCCTTAACAGTGTCTAGGAAAGCATCGTGTTGGGCTGGTGGCTTAGCCGCAAGGGCCTTGTAGTCGCCAATGTGCTGGTTGGCGTTGTTCTTGATGTTGTTGAGGAACTCGTACTCGTACTGGCCTTGGTACAGGTAGTCGAGGTATGGGTTTCTGATCATGCCGTAGGAGTTGATTGTGGTGTTCTGCATCTGATTGTCAGTTTGTGATGCTCGAGAATGAAACTCTCAGAGGTTGGACGAGGATGAGGTTGAGCAAGAAAACTGTCTCATTCGAAGAGTTCTGTCATGGCACAAGGCTTGCCATATGCTCATAGTGAATGGTGAAGCATGCTAAAGTGTCTTCGAATTGTAGAGTGAGAGTGAGACATACCTCTCCAACTCAGGCCCATACCTCCCATCATTTACACTGACCATTCACTCCCCGCTGAATTCCTCCTCACATTACTCGGGCGCCACACGTTTTGGTCTTGTCTTTCCATGGAGGCAGCGCGGCTACTCCTTGTAATTGAGACTGTTCTCGCTCGAGTCTTTGCATCGAGGTGTCGTTTGATATCGTTATCCCATCTCAGGTACTGCTGAAAAGCAGTGATGACGTGAGGCGACATGATGGGCATGGTGCTGTGTTCGAATGACGAAGATTAAAAAATGAATCTAACAATATGACGGTAGGGGCAGATGTATCGATCGTTCTCAAAGTGCGAAGTACAGGTTCAGTTCTATATAGTCGCGTCCCCAGATTCGAGATCCACTCCAGACAACACACCGCTATGGGGAAGACATCACCGAGCGGTCTGCAAAAGATCATTGCATCCAAGTTTAGCCTTGTCAACAGCCTCAACGATCGCGCACGTACGATAAGAGTCATTCCGTGGGAGCACCCTCACGCGTGGGGCTCATCTGCAGAGTCGACGTGAGACATAAGCGTTTGCATCCTTGGTGCAGCGCCCTGAACTTCCAAGAGCTATCATTGGTGCGGTCCTGCATTGAGATCTACGTTTCTGCAGGTTGGAGGATCTAGTGAGCGATCGTGATGGAAATGAGGCTCAAGCGGTGAGTTTGATGGTTGGGCTGACACGTGTCTACGGATTGCCTATGCCGTTTTCGGGTAGGCGCAACCGGCATCGCGCCGCGAAGCATTCTGTCGCGCACTTGTCACCTACCATCCCACTAAGACTTCCATGGATAGGGCATCATCTCCCCACAGGTCATCTATACCATGTAGAGGACTCCGCGGCCGTACACTTGATACAATATTCCGCGCGATACGCGTTATACCCTCCGCTACGCCCATGAGCCACTTATGCCTGGATCGAGCAATACCTCGCCGCGCAAGATTCCCATGCTGCCCTTTACACAGCTGGCTAGCTACAGCTTATGACCGATTATGCTCCTTAGCAACCTTTAGCAAAGAAACAGAAGGTCGATTGAAAATATGTGGCTGTTAGGGCTGATGCCCCGCATACCAATCTACTTCATGGCACGGTCTGTGGGGTCAACTCGGTTACGCGGAAGATCATGCTGGAGTTCGCATCTGTCCTGTGTCATATACAGTCGTGTATGATACGCTCGCATGGTTTTTATGGCATACGGTGTGAATGTCCCTCAGGCTTGCGCTATCCTCCTTTCGCTACTATCTTCGCTTTCTTCTCATGGATTCTGTGCGGTTTTACTGAGTAGCGAGTGGACCCCAACAATTGCGGGTTATCAGCCAACATACCCCCCTTCTGGACTGCCGAATGATAACAGCGTGTGAGCTGGATGTCACATATTCGATTCACAATTGCAGGGATCTGAAAATTGATTCCAATGTGTTCGACAAAGCCCAAATGAACGCTGATCCATCAAACCCGGCACTTGCTCTGAACAGTACAGTACATTCGACAATCGTTCACATATATTAGGTGGGGCTAATGTAGTTTTCGAGCCAGGCATTGGTAGCACTCATGTCCTTATCGGTTGAAGCATGCAGTCGGAGTAATGAATTGCGCTGCGGCCCGTCCGTAGCGTCGTCTGTTACTTCCGTTCTGTTATGAAGAGTTGATGTTTCTCGAACACATAAGTCGGAGTAGCTCCTGCAAAGATATCTCTCTATACTTGCCTGCAGCTCACGAAAAACTAGCTCGAGATGCTCTTGAAGTCTCTTACCGCGTTGGCGTTCGTTGCCCCGACCCATGCTCTCATCCGGTTCGGGTGCTCGCAGCTCGTGGTAGACCGTCTTGATCCCTTAGTTGAGCCTGGAAACGCTCCGTCAGCCCATCTCCACCAGATCATTGGAGGAAACTCTTTCGTCCCTGACATGAGCCCGGATGTTCATGATCCACCAGCAATGTCCACCTGCACCACATGCCAGCCTGCAGACGATTTCTCTAACTACTGGACCGCTTCTCTCTATTTTCGCGCTAGGAACGGAACCTATAAGCGCGTCAGTCAGAAAGGCAATGCAGGGTTCGAAGGTCAGAATGGTGGCATGGTGAGTCCTAAAAGCACAAACCAGACAAGGGACGTGTACTGACTGTTCCCACCTATGAAGACCGTTTATTATATGCAGAACCAACTTGCCGACTACCAGCAGAAGGCGAAAGTGAAAGCTTTTCAACCGGGCTTTCGCATGCTAATCGGTTCACCAACCGCAACCACAAAATCGGAAGCGGATAGGTACCCACAACTCACGTACACATGTCTACAAAACCCAGGCACCCGCTTCCCGGAGACTAAAGCGTTTCCTACCAAGCCCTGCCCCGCAGGCATCATGGTTAACTTGAGATTTCCAACGTGAGCAATGACATATCTCCTTGATGCCAGAGCCGTGCTGATTGTAGTAGCTGTTGGAATGGTAAAGATCTCGATTCACCAGACCACATGGCGCACATGGTAAAAGAAACCCTACCTCGCTTGGGATGATGCCATCTAATGTACTGTAGGCCTATCCAGTATCTGGTACTTTTGAAAGCCAAGGCCCTTGTCCAACCTCCCATCCCGTGCGTATGCCTCAACTCATGTACGAAGTCATCTACGAAACCGCACCGTTCAACGACCCTTCGCTCTGGCCAGAAGACGGTAGCCAGCCCTTTGTCTACTCTTTCGGTGACCATACCGGGTACGGCAATCACGGCGACTATGTCTTCGGATGGAAGGACGACTCATTGCAGAAGATCATGGACGAAGAATGTTACGTTGGATGCTCGTCTATGAAAACACAAAGCATGGAGATGATGAACAGCTGTAGCGTGCCGCGTAAGGTCATCGAGGACATCGGTGATCAGGACTGGATCCCCGCGCTTCCAGGGCACTTGAACGCGACGCGGGCTGTTACTTCGACTTTTAAGGCATTTCGTGCGTAGATCACCCCCTGTCATTCCTTTGTCTTACTATGCTTTTGTCGACAACGCAGAAACCAACTGGTCAGAGAAGCATTGACGGTTGCTCACATGATCACGCGTCAGGGAATTCAGTGTAATTGCTATTTCGATAGGTAGATCTTGTAGATCTCATCTACCAAAGAGTACTCCACATTTGTGCATCCGTTTTGCTTCTTCGTTGGGCGCCTCTTCCGCGAAGCCCCACTCACACCTGTGATGGTCGGTGCAACCCCACACACCCTCTTTCTAACGTGCAGTAGTTGCTGATGCTTACCGATTGGTCTGTGTAGGCTCAGTAGACTAAGTCATTCGTCACCCATGCCTTGTATATATGAGAAGATCTTCAGGAGTAGCAGATACCGAAGCATGGCAAAACGCAGTTCACTACTTGAATGTGCTAGCCTGAAATCTACATTAGCCTTCCCATGTAAGCCACTTAAGCACCCTCGCGTGAGTACACGAGCGCTCTTCCTTTCCTTTCCAATCGGCGTGATGAAGTTCGCTGCATCACAGTAAGCAATCGCATCGTCATACTCAACCCCATAGTGCACATGCTGCCTTAAATTCAAGCATCATGGCAGTATGACACACCGTCAACGGCATTGATGATCCAAGTGTTCGATCTAAAAAGTAAAACTAAAATCCAGCCGTACATAGCACACATTTCGATGGTAGTAAGGGTGGGGTCGCAGCGGTACGTGCCGGGGGCGCACTTGCCAGGGGTCCAGGCAGTAGCGTTGGCGCCAAGAAAAGTGACCAAGTGAGGATTTGCCAGAGCAGAGTGTGGATTTTGTTGCGACTGGTATTGTGGATTTTGAGTGTGTAGGGAGAGTGTCACAGATTGACTGGGCGGGAGAATGTCTATAGCGAGAACCTACAGGAAGAGTGGGTTCTCGGAAGGGATTGTAAAAGAGCATGATGACCAAACTTGGGGAAGAGGTTTCAAGGGTGCAGCGACATTGTAATTACAGCATGAAGCCTGGTCGCCAGATCAAATGACCAATCAGTCAAACACAGCGTCATTACAAGCCCTTTCCTCACTGCAAAAATGTTATTGGTACCTCGAGTGCATTCTGAATAGTCAGCTTCTGACCCTTGTACGAGCATGCGAACCATTTGTACTAAACTCAATTACCGAATAAACCATCTCCAATCATGATCACACCCAATGATTAATCGGCAGCCCTTCTGAAGACGCTGCTTTTATCATCTACTGACGTAGCTATCTCACCTCTTCTCCCACGCACCAGACAATGTCTCTCATGCTATATGTTGCTCGGCTCTCGGGAAGCTGCTGTTGTGTACTCGCTGCGGTGCCCAGATCCTAACCGAACAGAACATGTAGACGAAGTAGGCGCAGCTGTCGAGAAGGCCATGACTTGCGCATATGGCGTCTGGCCCGGTCTACGGAACGGTGCATCGTCCCGTCGGTCGAACCATGGCACGCGAGTCTGTGACCACTCTGGCTGACGTTCCTTGTCGAATTGGACACCTAGTGGAGGTAATTGCGGAGATGACGGAGCGGGCTCGTGCATCACAACGTGCTCTCCCCGCCTCGCTATGCGTTTCGGAGTTGTTGGTTCTTTGTGCTGCTCTGGTGTGGCGGGCAGCCTAACGAGTGGCCATGCAGTATCGATTACTTGCGTGTTGGTTTTGGTCTCCTTTGCAAGACGTGTTCCTGCCTGTGATGCGTCGTGCGACATGTTGAGCTTCTCCAAGCGAAACTCGCTCACCGGAATTTCGCGCATGAACATATAACCATCCAGCGTACTCTCCTTGCACACCGTGATCAACCCCCGATAACTGCAATCGATCAGGTCACAATAGCGGCCGTGATATCCTATGCGGAGGCAATCGTTTAATGTACGCTGTAATTCGGACAAGGCTACCGCTTGGGCGAGGGCGAAGGTGTGATAAATGCCGATAGAATGTACGATGAGCGGCGAATCTGGATCCAAGGAAGATCTGTGATAATGAATGACCTGGAACCCCAATCGTGGAATCTGGGAGAGCGGTTGCTCATCAGTAGTTTCTATCAGAGTGATCGGCGTACGGCAGGCATGTTGAGGTTCCCGCCAGGAAGGTGCCATTTAGACGATGTGTAGAGCGAAGATGGAAGGAAATAGCATTAGGAGTAAAGTATTTGGATGATTAACAACTTGTTTGTCAAGGGCTGTTTTGCGTAAAACATGTTCGAAGAATGGAACGTCTCTAAGGGTCTCATTCACCATGAGTCTCCGTTTGCTCACCTCTCTTTTCCGAATATCATGGCCAGAGGGAGATAGTTCGGCATGTGTGGACGGCGTGCAAGGACGAGAAACCTTTTCTACTCGAGGAGTGCAGTAAAGGGAGAATTGAAAGGAACACGAGAGATGAATAGAAGTTGAAAGTTATGCAATACCATGCTCTTCTGATCACAACACGCCATCGCCATTGGAAATCGACATGATCATTGTTCGTCGAACAATCCGTTGCGAAAGGCAGTTGGCGAGTCTACGCTTCCGTGAGATGTACACACCAGTGGTACTATCGCGATGTGACGATGATTTCTAATCGTTCGTGTCACCTTCTGTCGTCGGATGCAATTGGTTAGCGTGGCAGATGTCACCGAATGTTCCTTCAATATAGATTCATCGACACGTTGCCATTGCCTCTATCGCTCAGCATTGACGCAACGTGCACCGAGCTGTGCACTCACCTTCACGGACTGCAACGCATGGACTCGGCTCGCGACCGATGTCTCTATCGCTAGACCAAGCAGACGTACCCAGCTACCTGCCTGTTTAATATATCGCTGGCGCCCACCAAGAACGCCAGGCGTACGGGATTGCATTTGTGTTTGTCAGCTCTTCAGCATACAAGCCGCTTGCCGTCAACTCCATAGCAGCTTCTGCAGCATCGGCCACAAAGCGGTCAGTCCTTTAAGTTGTCTGGAAGCTGGACCTAGGTCGAAAGGAAGCCCACGATCGTATGTGCGCACGGGACGGAGATGAGGGCATGGGATTCTGCAAAAGACGGGCCAGCGATATGCGCAATTCCCATGTGCCGCTCAGTGCACCAATCACGTCACACAAGCTCACTTGTTGGAGGCGTCACGCTACATGCCAGTCTACGCGAACATCAGTTTTTCCCCTGAGCCTCCCGCTGTCGTCGCGTACACATGCCCTCTTTCCGGTTGTTCGTCTGTTGAAACGTTCGGTGCTGCGACATGGAAGTTCCTCAAGGAGGATGTTGCTGGTCGATGACGTTTAAGGGATACCGAGCAGCGGGGTACAGAGACTTACACCATAGGCTCCCTGGTATACAGTCGATTAGCAAAGATATACGACAACAATCCTGGCTTGAACCCATCTTATCGGTACGACAGAAAGCATTCGCCAGATCCAGGGCTTCGGAAGTAATAGCGAGGACGTTGCACGGGAAGAAGAAAGAAACAACTCCATGCAAACACATCCCGTTCGCGGGCTGGGTGCACAGGGTCCAATGCGTCGAGGTACAAGCCACGCGTAGCTCACATCGCGTCAATTTCCCAACCTGTGGGTTGAGTCCAATCGGCGAGGCCAAAGCGCGTGCCGCTAGAAGCAGCCTAGATCTTAGCATCGAAAGTCCCACTGATTGGGGGCTGTTGGCCTGAGCGATTTGACAAATTTGAGCGACCAAATGCGTAGCGGGCTGCGCGATGTTAACGAGGTTTGAGATCGTATTTTGAAAGTTTGCGGTGGCGAGTATCGTAGGACGCGTACAAAGTTGCTACTGCAGATCGTGTCTCACATACCTCGTTTAGGAAATCCCTGAAGATGTGAATCCGCTTTTGTCAATGACCCATTGCGACTCAGTGTCAAAGTTCTGAAATTCTAAAGTTTCGGCGGATCTAAGCTCTAGCGCTACATCTCTACCATCGTACGGCATATACGAAGCGTTTGAGCTAACAGCCCAGCACCATCGCGCAACACAAGGGACCCACGATCGGGGCTTGCTACAGATAGTTTCGCATCTCGTACGCTTGTTCGTAGCCACATGATCGATCAACATTCCGCGGGGACAGGGTTTGACTTTCGGCTATCTATCCTCAGAATCTGGTGCTGGCATCGCAAGTGTTGAGACGTGGTGTCCACGATTCATCTTTGACGTCGACGGGTGTCGGCAGAAAAGGCCCTTCATGCATCGCCGAAGATGATGCTGTTTATAGGGGTAGAGTGGAATATAGGATTCGCGCGACATATTCCACCGAGTAATACCCATTTGTCTCTATCAGCCTGGCACCAAAGGAGTCCGGACTTTGGAGGTTCCAAGGACCTGACCATGGTGGCGTTTCCCCCATCTCGGTTGCAGCTTGGGTATGTCGTAGGCGGCACATTTGCTTCTGCCGTTGCTGCATACCAGATTGGCAGCGGGCTGGGATCCGATCAACTCTGCTTTTGCCTTATCCACCGGTTCAACGTTATCGCAATGACTCGCAAGCCACAAGACAACTCTAAGTGGTGAGAGCGCGAAGCAAACTTTTTGTCGATGAGGTGTTGCAGAATGGCCAGGCTTAAGCGAAGCAGTGGTCGCATAGTTTGGTACGCGTGGTGACGATTCGAGGCCGAGCGCGACGCGGGCAAAGGCTGCATGCGCGCATCCTGACCGCTAATCCCGACGATGACGGCTGCCGATTGGAGTGTTGGCGTTCGTTTGCTGCTGGCATTATGCATGCACTGTCGATCGCGTACAATTATGAAATTCGTGGCTGTCTAAAAGAACATTGTGGCTGTCTGAGAGAACGTCACTCCGCGTTTTTGTAGCTTTTGCAGCTTCTCAAAGTAGCATCGTGACTGTCGCTCGCTTCGGTTCTCCACCCGCACTTGCGAACGTTGAGGTATCTCTTGCATCACTAGAACACCAAGACATTCTGACAAGGTGGGTGTGTCGAGTCTTCATTTCCCAACGGCTGCATCGCAATGTGACATTTGACCGTCGGCGCCATGGTGTGTTTTACACAGCCAGAAGGTTGGTAAACCGGGTAGAGATTTGCAATTGTGGTATGGGGCTAGTCCGAGCCCAGACGATCGACACGGGTTCTGCCCAGATTACCGACTCCTCACGGCGCGTGGCACTAGTGCATATCTTCATGTCCCGGTATGCTAGCCTCTGCCATCTGTCGCGGTGCTGCAGATACGCTTGCTGTGGGGCGCGCCTACTCGTCGGCGACCTCGAGGATCCCATGTGCAACCAGGCGTTGACGTCCCCACGCTACAGCCGACTCTCATTTGGGCAAATGCCCGTACGCGGCAGGAAGCAGTAGAGGTGGAGAGCCATGTGCCTGTCACGAACGAAGCGCTTTCTGGCCGAGATGGGCATGGGTATGCGGCCATGCCGAGAGTTGGGTATAAACACCCCATCATCTCTACATACTTGACCTCTCGAGACGCACGGCGCAAACTTCCTCTACCTCCATTCCACTTTTTGTTCGCCATCACTAGTCAGGTCCGCGCTACGACCTGTCTTACACAAAGGTCGTCTCTGTGCGCAACTACTGGACGGCTACCCCAATAGCTCTCTTCCAGTCTTCCCTTAGCTTGGACCCGGTACTCCACTCGCCCCATCGATCGGGTAGGTATATAGCACTCCATCTCTACGCGCGGCTCGGTGCGTGTAAACGGTTGCTCTTGCCTATCACCTACAAACGACCACGCGACTTGACAAGCGTTGTCGTCACTGCCCCGCAACATCACCACGTTCCTTCTTGATCAGACCCTGACGCTAGAGGCTGCTCAATATGGTCTACTCACTGTCCTATCGCCGTCCTGAGCGTGTGCCTCGTCCTGGCACTGCCTCGACCAACTCGAGTGAACATCAGCGAAGGTCGATCCATGAATCAGTCAAGTCTGGCAGCAGCGGCATGTCCAACGGTATTCCCGAGGCCTTGTCCTTTGACACCATCATCGCAGGCGGTGCTTGCCCTGTAAGTGCCCACTCTTCTCCGCATCACCTTCACGAGGAGCAATGCTGACTCTTGCCAGCCCTGCACGGTCCGTGACTTTATGAACTTCCTCAAATACATTGAGCTGTCGGCAGAGAATCTGCAATTCTTCCTTTGGTACCGCGACTACGTCAAGCGCTTCAATGCGCTACCAGAAAGCGAGAGGGTTCTGTCTCCCGAGTGGACTGGCGAAAAGAACTCTGACGCCAAAAACGTCCCAGCAAACTTCAATGCCGACGCTGCAGCCATCTTGAAAGGAACCGACTTCGCCAACGAGGGCAAGGTCGCTGAATCGGAGAAGGGCAGCAACAACCCCTTCTTCACCCCACCTCGTACACCTACCAGTGTCGAGCCTGCTGGGCGCGAGTATTCTCTTGACTCGTACGATGAGAGCATGACCACCGGCAAAGTTGATCACACTCAACGTGCTGCTGGTGCGTTTGACAACGCAGGACTAAAGTGGAAACCACGTGAGTATAACCTTTGCTGATCTCCTCTCTTCTCTAGTGTCCAATCGCTCATCCGCCACAGTATCTGTCCAGCCCTACCGAGAAGAGATCAATCGCATAATCTCCATCTACATTGCCGACAATGGTTCGCGCCAACTAAACCTCTCATCAAAAGAGCGCACAGCACTGTTGCATGCTCTGCAGAACACGACACACCCGTCCGCATTCAGTGACATCATCACTACTGTCGAGTGGTCGCTCCGTTGCCAGGCGCACCCTAACTTCATCCGCTGGACTATTTGCAATGGCAACCGTCCTCGTGTCATCTTCGCTCGCGGCCTTGGTATCTTCGGTATCGTGGCCGGCTTGATAGTCGCGATCATCCTTACTCTTAGCAGTGCCGGTCGTGCATGGCGCGTCATCTCTCTCATCGGATTCTTCATCGGTAGCTCAACATTGATCGCAGCATGGAAGGGCATGTGTGTGGTCTTGCACGGCATGCATCACCGACATTTGCGTCCATGGGAGCTTTTTGCATCTGATGACGAGCCGCAAAGCTATGACATCAAGTCCGACTCTTTCCAGAGCATCGACTCACATGCATCAAGCAATTCCTGGGAAGACGAGCCATGGGTCGCCAGATATGAGAAGCGCAATGTTATCCGAAAGGTGTTTGACCGCGAAGTCTGGGTTCAAGAACCTGCTCTCCGCCAAATCCAAGACACCATCTTCATCCAGGCCATCATCGGTGCTCTCATCATCTCCGCCGTGGCCGTCGGCATATTCTGCGCCATCCCCAAGGGCAACTACTTCTAAGCTCGGCAATTAAGGACCAGGCTATCTTGTTAATTTTCCTAATCCCAGACCACATCCAGCGATTTCTTCTCAATTCCCCTTTTGGCTCTGTACCAGCTGCTTTTGATACCCTAGCACATGTGTATGCGGCACATGTGCGCCCGACATTTTGGTCTGTGCGGAAATAGCGATCAATGGGGCATGTTGGTTCGGCGCCGGCGTCTGGATTAGAAACATGTTTCTCTGCGATAAACATCTTGTTATGTTATAAAAAGACAACAAAAAAGATGATGATATTGGAAGAACGATAGCAGAAAAGTTCGTTATGTAGCCGATATGCAGTTATGTCTTTACGGATGCAACACTTTGATATCCCCAGTTGTCCACAACATTGTAGCCTTCCATGTCTTGATTTTCTACAGTCCCTGGTCATTACTGTCTTTGAATACTTCGATGTCGTACAACGAACTCGCTGTGTAACTGGTGTCGGCCTCGACAAACGCTTCTTCCCCTCTCACGTGGTAGGAAATGACATGTGCCGTCATTCGCGCCGTACTCGCGTTTTCTTCTTCTAGCTCAATGCGTATATTGCTTGCAGTATGCGTGGTTATGAGGCCGAAGACACGATCGAACATGGGGTTGATGGCATCCCAGCCAGCCAAAGTGGCTTGGTTGCCCGATGGACCGTATATGAATGTCATCTCAGGGGTTTTCAGACAGGCGGATTCCATCATAGACCGGTTGTTACTGTCGAGACCTAGGATGCAACGGTGGAGAGTGTCGGCTATGGCTTCGCGGGTGGTTAGGTTGGAAAGGTGAGCTTTGGCGGCCATGTTTGTAATGAATACAAAGATTATGATGTCTGCGATTTGGTCTACAATACCTAAAGTCTTGCCACGCTTTATATAGATACTTCACCTGTGTCATTGCAATAATACGATTTTTCTCAATGCCTTGAATACATTGTGTGAAACTGCAGGTGGAGTTATCGGGCTTAAGACGACGAGGAAATAACTCATCTTTCTTGGAAACTGGATATACCGGAGATACCACTACGGCTGTCCATGTCGAGATCTCGTCGACCTCATGTTCCCGAGTCTTCCCTTTTATATCGGTGCTTGCGTACTCCGTCACCGGCCGCTTCCGGAAAAGATGCCTTGCACAGCCATACTGCCTGCAGCTACATGCATCACGCGGATGACTTAGCAAATCTTTAGTCCTTGACGTGATCGCAAGAAGCTCAAAAGTGTATTCCTTGATGCACATGCAGAGCCGCATACCCGGTGAGAGCTTCACTGGGCCTTGGGCTACCGGTGGGATTAGTCCAAGTACTAATAGCAGGAGATTGAGACGCAAGGCAGACTGTGACCGGTCGGTCGACGCCTTCGGGAGGTATTGTGCGCCATGTGGTATGATTTGGTGTCAAGTATGAATGAAAGCGCGTTGTATGTGACAACTGCGCTTGATATGGTTGTAAAAGGGCTAAGAAAGTGGTGAGGCGCGTGACGAGGCTAGTGAGGGTGGCTGCAGACAATGTGGCGGTGTTAGAGTGCCGTTTACCGCTTTTCCGGAGGCGGCCGGTTGTGCGACAAGGGAAGATTCGGTACCTGAGGAGAGCATGCAGTACTTGTACTTGTCACTGATAGAAGAAGATGATAGATAGAAGAAATGTCCTGCAGTTGGGAAGATTTTCCCTGAGCATATCAAGGTGGCGCACAAAGGGTTGCAGGCTCATAGACGATGTAGCGCAACGTCTGCGCCAATAGTGCTGCATATTAAGTATAGGGATATGTGAAGAGAAGAAGTGCACTTATGTATTATGAAGTCATAGTGTCACTGCATCGTAGCATGATGGCGAATACTGCTATTTTTGCTTGGGGCAAGGGTTCAGAAGGTGCTAGAGGGAGCGTCCGATGCTTAATACGGCACTTGTATCGTACAGAAGCCAAAAGTACCATATGTGAATGATGGCACCAGCAAGCGCAGAGTGAAGAAGATGATATCGTAACGGTACCTGCAAGGTCCTACCTAGGCATCTTTGCAAGGCGAAGACGGGCGAACAGGCGGTGGGCGTCGTGTAGGGAACATGAAGCGAACAAATAAGGGTCCGCCAGCGGTGGGGACGCTGCGCGAAGAAGGCGCGACCCGCAATTCACAGACGGGGCTCCATGCGTCACCAAGCATCTTTGTACGTCCAACATGCCCGTTGTTGCCGCGCTATGTATACCTGCCCGGCCCTCGAATTCCATCTCGTTACTCTTGAAGCCGCCCTAGCCAACCGCCAGAGCTCAATGCATACGATAGCCACTAGTCTGACACTGCTCGCCTGACCATCTCTCCCGTACCCAAATACATGTCTTACGAATACGACAGCCGGTACTACCAGCGCCCGCGCCATGACTCTCACTATACATCTCGCGACAGCACTGCCTATGCCTACTCGCGGCACGACCAGACTCTAGCTGAGGCTCGCGAGCAGCTGGCAGACATGCGCCAAAGCAACCCATATACGTCGTCCTACAACACCTACAGCGCCTACGAACCCCGCACTTCCCCACCCCGACAGTCGGCGCCGCATTCATACAGGCCGCACCTGCAGAAGAGGACATGGCCGCCGTCTCCAAGTGTCGAGGACGAGAGGGAGGCGCTAGCAAAAGAGGCGCCGTCCTCCGTGGGGTCGTCAGGGCAGGCCGAAGGTGAGCCGCCGATCAACACGCGGGGCACCGTCGACCAGGACTCGCTCCTCGACGAGATTGAGCAGCCGAGAGTCGCACAAGACCATGACCGCCGCTTTGTGCTCGTGTCTGAGACCAGCTCCGAAGACCATGGCACGCATACGACCAGCACGCTTCGGGACCGTCGCCGGAGGAGTTTTGCTGAGCGTGGGGGCATGTCGCACATCAACACTGACGTCCCGGACCCCCCTCTGTTCGTCGAACGAGAGAGGACCCCCTATGGCTATTCCAAGCCCCAGAAGGAGTCTACCGCACCGTCTACTGCCGAGTACATGCGCTCTCCAGAACCCATGACCCCCTCGAGACCGAGACCAAGTGAAAGCCGGCACAACTCCTACACGACGTCGCGATCGTCCAAGAAGGAGTACGTCTTCGACTCCGAATCCGAAACCGACAGCACGACCCACCTGCGAACCGAACGAAAGCCTGCGCGTTACAGCTTCGTCAAGAGCGACCTACAACGGGAGGACCTAAGGACAAATCTGCGCGAAACACACGAGAGACCTGAATCGCATCGGCGGGATTCTGGACAGCGTCCACTGCCGACGATACGTAAGGGTGATTCGTCAGGCTCCTCAAAGGAATACTCGAATGCTCAGTCACCGCGCTCATCCTCTTCCTCGCTGAACAGCACAAGAAAATCGAGACCTGTGCCTGTCGACACTATCTACGCCAACAGTTCGCGCCCATTATCCAGACCAGGCTCACCATCGCAGCGTGCACCCTCGCCTCAACTACCCACACACCTACGCGATTCTCCTCCAGACTCTCGACCATCCTCTCGCGGTGGCGCACGACCGGCCTCTCCCCTGTCTTTCTCAACGACATTCCAGCCTTCTTCGCCAGGCCGTGGTCGGGTACCCATATCAGAGGCGGATTGGCATTCCACGTATCCTCCTGCACCTACCAACGACAGATCAAGACAGCCTTCTCGGTATGGTAGATACGATACCATGCCGCTTCCAAGGCCTCGAATCGATGTTCACAGTCCGTCCCCAGCGAGACAATCAAGTTCCGACTCTGGTTTACCATATCCCATAGACGATCAGCTCATCGATGTCTTCATGCCGCCCGAAGAGCACTATCAGTTCGATCACTCGACTGTCGGATCGCCAAGAGACAGCTATGTGGATATTCCGAGAGCGAGTTCGCCGTCGGTTCCTGGTTCACCATATACGAGAGAATTGCCTTCCCGGCCTAGGAGACAAGACCCTGAGATAGTAGAGGAGCCTGCACGTACAACAAGGACCAGATCGGATAGTCTTCGTTCACAGGACGGCCGCCGTGATAGGTCGTCTCGGAGGACTGCTTCTATGGACAGGCCACTCCCTGATTGCCCAAGATCTGTCAAATCTGGACCTTATGATGATTGGTATGCTTTACAAGGCCACAAGAACTTTAACATCTGCCCTAGCTGTTACGAAGGCGTCTTTGCTGGAACGCCTTTTGACGTGGATTTCAAACAGATATGGTTGGGCGACTGGCCGGCCGAGCGGATCTGTGACTTTAGCAGTCCCTGGACACGTCTTGCATGGTTACTTACAGTAAAGCAACGTCGTACATCACTCGATCTGATCTATGCAATCGCGGATATCATGGATTATGTAGTCAGTCCATGCCCTGGAGATCGTGAAGCCGGCGCAGAACGTAATGTCAGCTGGTACGGCATTCCTAATCAACGGGATGGCACCCACATAGCCAACTTTGCCATATGTTCAAGTGATAGGAGAATGATCGAGGCTTTATTGCCATCACTTCGGGGTTGCTTCACCAAGATTCCGCGTGGTTATATCGATTCTTCGGATACGTGTAGCTTACGTACAAGCTCCTCTCGCTTCGCCAAATACCTGGACCTACTCGTGGAACTTGACAGGGAGGCTGAGTTGTCCGGTCAACTACCCGATTTGAATCGCTTCATCAAGTTGATCCGGGAAAACTCTTTCAAGGGCGAGTGCGCAAGGTCCAGGACTTTATTCCGCAAACCATGGCATTTTGTTCCCTCTCTACCCGAGTTTACAGTGTGTGAGCAATGCTATGATGAGCTCATCTGGCCTGCCACCCAGTCCAAATCCGTAACGTCTCCTATACCACACCTATTCAACAAGTCGATTCAGCTAGTGCCTGGTGAGGATCCAGATGTCGGATCAAGTTGCTGTCTGTGGAGTAAGAGGATGCGCGAGGTTTGGAGAGAAACTCTTAAATATGACGACTTTTCATATCTCAAAAGCCAAGCAAGAGAGAGGAAGAGGGCGGAGGCCAAGTACATGAAGAACAGGAAACAGATAG